GAGAGGAATTGCTTGTCGTACCCCACGATACGGTATTACCCCCTTATAAAGATTTGTATATGCATATTTATCATCATGTGGAGATTGATCGAGAAACGGTTGTTCAGTTGCATCGGGGTGGACGTCGATGTACTCAATATTTACTCATCCCTATGTCGAGGACAATTCACGGCCCTGTACAATAGTTTAGGTCTGTTGGGTACCGAGCGGTTACAATATCTCATGGATACTTTAGTCGATTATAGCCTTAAGACCAGAGAACACACCGCCCCGTACTCAACCTACTCCTTAGTCGACTCTGATGAGTTTATGGCAGATGCAAGCCAGCACTTCTTCGCTCAATATTACGGTTACGTTTAAAAAAAATACTTTAAAAAATAATACTTCAAATAAAGGGCACATCCAATGTTGGTCCACCATCAAACAAACCATTTTTACACCATCGATGGGAGACTTATTCAGGCACCAATAACCCTATAGAACACATACTGCAGCTGGAACCCCATCCTAATACTACTCATTACATAGGGAATTCCATGTTGTCCGATATTTGAATCTAGCAGTCCCTCTTGCAAAAGCTCACAGTACTTCCTTGAATCAATGCAGCCTGTAATTTCCAGAAGCGGCATTAACCCAAATGTCCCGATCCCACCCCACACCATCACAGAAAGCGAGAACTTTGGGCACATTTTTCGCATTTTCCATTTCGACACAACCTTTTCCTTGTAATTCGGAAAAATTGGAACTTTGATTCGTCTGTAAATAACCAGTTTGAAAAGTCAGTGTCCCCATTATGCTCACACCACTTCCGTCTTTTCCGCTTGTGCTCTTGCGTCATCAACTGAATCTTTGTCGGCACTTTCTTCAAAATTCCTTATTCTTTTAAACTCCGCCTTATGGTCAATTCAGATACTCTAGTACTCCCTAAAGCTGTGTCAGGCTCCCCTAGTTGTTTTGCCAACCAGTTTGGATGCACCACTGCCAGTTGTGTGAGTCGTCTCCTGTCATTTCCATCGAGTTTACGCTTTCGCTGAAAACTATAGCCTTAAGACTAAATCTGGTAGTAAGTCGGTAATGGTACTCCGAGGAAGCCTCAATATTGTCCATAACTTTTGAACTGATTTGCACCCATCTTCATATAAAGCGAGAAGTCGATATTTCGCATCAGATTTTGACATGACGTTGGTAACTAGGAAATCATCTCCTACAGCGTCATCACGTGACCCGGCCCAACGACAGGGGAGATAATGCCGAGAACGCCATACTGTTGTCAGCAGTGCAAAATATTACTCAAACAATTTCGAATTTACCGCACGGCGACCTTGAACAGATGTTGGTGGTGTTTGCCGATGCTGACGTCTAATTTGCCTGCAGGGTAATTACATGCTGTGTTGTCCTCCACAACATTTGCGAGAGTGTCCGTGACCTCTACAGGGAGGATTGGGATGCAGAAAAAGACGAAGAAGAAAATGACCACCAACTGGATGTACAGGTTTGGGGCAACGAAGGGATCCAATGTGAGAAAGCTTTCCGTGAATGAAACAGCACTGGCTTTCTGCAATGATGTGTTTTAAAGACACTATTCATTTGTGAAGACATTTACTTTCAATAAACCATGTATAGTTCATACTGGTGATTTTTGTAAACATGTACACTTGAACATGCACATGTTTTAAACTTCAAATGAAAGTATTTTCTGAAGATAAAAGCAATTATTATCCCCCTCAACAACGAAGTGCTGTCTCTCTTCACGCTTCTGTCTTTCATCTCATTCCATCTTGGCTTTCTCAACATCAAGTTTTTGGCGTTCAAGTTCTATTTTATGTCATTGAAGGTCAAGAACCTTATCATCAGCTCTCTTGTTTGCTGCACTAAATCCATCCATCACAGATTTCAGTGCTACTTCCATCCTTGTCTTTGAGCTCTTTTCTTCTCACTCTTCACCTTTCCATTTTCCCCTCCAGTTGATTCCTTTTTTTATATTCTTTCTGCTTTCCGTATCAGATGCATTCTTTCCGTCCTTTTCATCCCTTTCAGTTCTATTATCAACAAGAGGTGTAATGTCAGCACAACTGTCATCAACAGCCTGTGTGTTCGCCTGTGCTGTACTGTCATATGCATCTGGTTCACAAGGATCCCCTTCTTCATCTTCGACTTTCTTGGTCAATGTATCTATAACCTTCAGAGGTGACAAGGCTGGTCTGGTACCAAGAATGGCGTCCAGTTCTTCAAAAACTTTCAAAGTTTCCTTCCCTTTCCACTTTTCTTCAGGTAAAATTTACTCTCTCTGTGTGTCCTCTTTAGGGTATGGATTCTCACGTTACATTGGTCAGATGTCCTGTTGAATCCTCTTGCAGCCATATCCGTCGCGACAGTATTGTAAACTGAAACATTGCTGCTGTGGGGTTTTCCAGTAATTCCTCTATACTGTTGTCTTCCCATATTGCCAATAGGCATTTTGTTTCCTCGTCATTCCAAGCAGAACCCCATCTTTTGGCACTACAAGGTTCTTTCCGGTTCGCCATTGTCGTGTGTCCGTTCTTAATGGAAGCTTGACATAAACTGATAGATATCTGACCTAAAAGATGCATAAAGTTTTGGTGGGAAACCACCAAAATGGCCATCATGAAAATCGAGCGGGAAGAAAAAACTCACCCTGAGTAAATTTGCTATGCGTTCATACAACCACATTTGCTTAGGGTAGCCAAAAATAAGCATTGACTCACCGGTAATAAAACATTTACATCTGGTCCAGGATAGGAGTATTTTTGCTTGGGGTAGTAAAATTTGCATATGTGTAATTGCAGTTGTAAATACAACCAAATATACTCACGTAAGCAAATTTACACAGATGCAAAATATACACACGTGTGCAAATGTCGCCGTATAAACAGGGCTTTTAGAGAATTTTACCCAAGTGTCTTCAAATATATCATCACGAGATGATGAAAGTTACAAATACAAATATGTTTACTTAAATCAATGAGTGTTGATATCAGAAGACACACTGTGAGATTTTATTTATCCACCAAAATCATTCTTCATCAAATATCAGTAAAAGAATGAATTTATCTGAACACAAAACTGCCATTAGGCTTCATGAGCAGTGATCCCAGTGAGGTTATAGCATTGTCAGCAGTGATCCCAGTGAGGTTATAGCATTGTCAGCAGTGATCCCAGTGAGGTTATAGCATTGTCAGCAGTGATCCCAGTGAGGTTATAGCATTGTCAGCTGTGTTCTTAGTGATGTCATAGCATTGTGAGGTCAGGAACTGACGATGTCCATCAGGACCACATGTTTCGCCAAGTTTTATAGCTGATAATGCATTTGTTATTTCATATATTATATGGTTATCTCTTTATTTAGAATATTACTAGAGTCATCATCAATCAATGTACATTATTTGGCAATATGTAATATATAAATGTCTATTGATGTGTAGCTATTGTACTAATCATGTACAACAGGGCCAAGTCTGACTGAATGTACCAGATAGCAGAACTCACCATGTTGTGTAGGATCTCACTGAATGTACCAGATAGCAGAACTCACCATGTTGTGTAGGATCTCACTGAATGTTCCAGATAGCAGAACTCACCATGTTGTGTAGGATCTGACTGAATGTTCCAGATAGCAGAACTCACCATGTGGTGTAGTATCTGACTGAATGTTCCAGATAGCAGAACTCACCATGTTGTGTAGGATCTGACTGAATGTTCCAGATAGCAGAACTCACCATGTTGTGTAGGATCTCACTGAATGTACCAGATAGCAGAACTCACCATGTTGTGTAGGATCTCACTGAATGTTCCAGATAGCAGAACTCACCATGTTGTGTAGGATCTGACTGAATGTTCCAGATAGCAGAACTCACCATGTGGTGTAGTATCTGACTGAATGTTCCAGATAGCAGAACTCACCATGTTGTGTAGGATCTGACTGAATGTTCCAGATAGCAGAACTCACCATGTTGTGTAGGATCTGAATTAATGTACCAGATAGCAGAACTCACCATGTTGTGTAGGATCTGACTAAATGTTCCAGATAGCAGAACTCACCATGTTGTGTAGGATCTGACTAAATGTACCAGATAGCAGAACTCACCATGTTGTGTAGGATCTGACTGAATGTTCCAGATAACTCACCAGGTTGTGTAGGATCTGACTGAATGTTCCAGATAGCAGAACTCACCATGTTGTGTAGGATCTGACTGAATGTTCCAGATAGCAGAACTCACCATGTTGTGTAGGATCTGACTGAATGTTCCAGATAGCAGAACTCACCATGTGGTGTAGGATCTGACTGAATGTTCCAGATAACTCACCATGTTGTGTAGGATCTGACTGAATGTTCCAGATAGCAGAACTCACCATGTTGTGTAGGATCTGACTGAATGTTCCAGATAGCAGAACTCACCATGTTGTGTAGGAACCGACTGAATGTTCCAGATAGCAGAACTCACCATGTTGTGTAGGATCTGACTGAATGTTCCAGATAGCAGAACTCACCATGTTGTGTAGGATCTGACTGAATGTACCAGATAGCAGAACTCACCATGTTGTGTAGGATCTGACTGAATGTTCCAGATAGCAGAACTCACCATGTTGTGTAGGATCTGACTGAATGTTCCAGATAACTCACCATGTTGTGTAGGATCTGACTGAATGTTCCAGATAGCAGAACTCACCATGTTGTGTAGGATCTGACTGAATGTACCAGATAGCAGAACTCACCATGTTGTGTAGGATCTGACTGAATGTTCCAGATAACTCACCATGTTGTGTAGGATCTGACTGAATGTTCCAGATAGCAGAACTCACCATGTTGTGTAGGATCTGACTGAATGCACCAGATAGCAGAACTCACCATGTTGTGTAGGATCTGACTGAATGTTCCAGATAACTCACCAGGTTGTGTAGGATCTGACTGAATGTTCCAGATAGCAGAACTCACCATGTTGTGTAGGATCTGACTGAATGTACCAGATAGCAGAACTCACCATGTTGTGTAGGATCCGCACAGCCTCTTTGTAGACCTGGCAGGAGTTCTGCAGAATGTCCTCTGTCAGATTCAGCAAACTTGACACAGGCACAATCCTGTGAGACTTGACAACAGCAACAATCTTCTCAAGGCCTTTCTGGACAAATGTGTGGACATCGTATTGCACGGGGTACTGGTTTCTGTGATTTTCATGGAGGCTGATCAGATTATCCACCAGCTTGTCATAGCCCTGTGTACAGAATGGTGATTGAGTGAGTTTAGTTTGACGCCGCAGTCAGCAATACGACACAGAACAGAAACACATTATGGACACAATACAATGGTTCTGTACCAGTTGTCATAGCCCTGAATGAAAAGGAGAAAATGTCTTTACAAAGCTTGACTAACCCAAGCTCTCTGAGATTCTCTGCCAAAACACCACTCACCTGATTCTTTGGCTGACACCTACCTCTCCTTTCTAACAAGATGTTGAGAGAATGTCCTGATACCTACCTCTCCTTACTAGATGTTGAGAGATTCTTGGCCACCTACCTCTCCTAACTAGATGATGAGAGAATGTCCTGATACCTACCTCTCCTAACTAGATGTTGAGAGATTCTTGGCCCCCTACCTCTCCTTACTAGATGTTGAGAGATTCTTGGCCACCCACGTCTCCTAACCAGATGTTGAGAGATTCTTGGCCACCCACGTCTCCTAACCAGATGTTGAGAGATTCTTGGCCACCTACCTCTCCTAACTAGATGTTGAGAGATTCTTGGCCACCTACCTCTCCTAACCAGATGTTGAGAGATTCTTGGCCACCCACCTCTCCTAACTAGATGTTGAGAGATTCTTGTCCACCCACCTCTCCTAACTAGATGTTGAGAGATTCTTGTCCCCTACCTCTCCCAACTAGATGTTGAGAGATTCTTGGCCACCCACCTCTCCTAACTAGATGTTGGGAGATTCTTGGCCATCTACCTCTCCTAACTAGATGTTGAGAGATTCTTGGCTACCCACCACTCCTAACTAGATGTTGAGAGATTCTTGGCTACCCACCCATCCTAACTAGATGTTGAGAGATTCTTGGCCACCCACCTCTCCTAACTAGATGTTGAGGGATTCTTGGCCCCCTACCTCTCCCAACTAGATGTTGAGGGATTCTTGGCTACCCACCTCTCCTAACTAGATGTTGAGAGATTCTTGGCCACCTACCTCTCCTTACTAGATGTTGAGAGATTCTTGGCCACCTACCTCTCCCAACTAGATGTTGAGAGATTCTTGGCCACCCACCTCTCCTAACCAGATGTTGAGAGATTCTTGGCCACCCACCTCTCCTAACTAGATGTTGAGAGATTCTTGGCCACCTACCTCTCCCAACTAGATGTTGAGAGATTCTTGGCCACCCACCTCTCCTAACTAGATGTTGAGAGATTCTTGGCCACCTACCTCTCCCAACTAGATGTTGAGAGATTCTTGGCCACCCACCTCTCCTAACTAGATGTTGAGAGATTCTTGGCTACCCACCACTCCTAACTAGATGTTGAGAGATTCTTGGCCACCCACGTCTCCTAACCAGATGTTGAGAGATTCTTGGCCACCCACGTCTCCTAACCAGATGTTGAGAGATGCTTGGCCACCCACGTCTCCTAACCAGATGTTGAGAGATTCTTGGCCACCTACCTCTTCTAACTAGATGTTGAGAGATTCTTGGCCACCCACGTCTCCTAACCAGATGTTGAGAGATTCTTGGCCACCCACCTCTCCTAACTAGATGTTGAGAGATTCTTGGCCACCTACCTCTCCTAACTAGTTGTTGAGAGATTCTTGGCCCCCTACCTCTCCTAACTAGATGTTGAGAGATTCTTGGCTACCCACCCATCCTAACTAGATGTTGAGAGATTCTTGGCTACCCACCACTCCTAACTAGATGTTGAGAGATTCTTGGCCACCCACGTCTCCTAACCAGATGTTGAGAGATTCTTGGCCACCCACGTCTCCTAACCAGATGTTGAGAGATTCTTGGCCACCCACGTCTCCTAACCAGATGTTGAGAGATTCTTGGCCACCTACCTCTTCTAACTAGATGTTGAGAGATTCTTGGCCACCCACGTCTCCTAACCAGATGTTGAGAGATTCTTGGCCACCCACCTCTCCTAACTAGATGTTGAGAGATTCTTGGCCACCTACCTCTCCTAACTAGATGTTGAGAGATTCTTGGCCACCTACCTCTCCTTACTAGATGTTGAGAGATTCTTGGCCACCTACCTCTCCTAACTAGATGTTGAGAGATTCTTGGCCACCCACCTCTCCTAACTAGTTGTTGAGAGATTCTTGGCCCCCTACCTCTCCTAACTAGATGTTGAGAGATTCTTGGCTACCCACCCATCCTAACTAGATGTTGAGAGATTCTTGGCCTCCTACCGCTCCTAACTAGATGTTGGGAGATTCTTGGCCATCTACCTCTCCTAACTAGATGTTGAGAGATTCTTGGCTACCCACCACTCCTAACTAGATGTTGAGAGATTCTTGGCTACCCACCCATCCTAACTAGATGTTGAGAGATTCTTGGCCACCCACCTCTCCTAACTAGATGTTGAGGGATTCTTGGCTACCCACCTCTCCTAACTAGATGTTGAGAGATTCTTGGCCACCTACCTCTCCTTACTAGATGTTGAGAGATTCTTGGCCACCTACCTCTCCCAACTAGATGTTGAGAGATTCTTGGCCACCCACCTCTCCTAACCAGATGTTGAGAGATTCTTGGCCACCCACCTCTCCTAACTAGATGTTGAGAGATTCTTGGCCACCTACCTCTCCCAACTAGATGTTGAGAGATTCTTGGCCACCCACCTCTCCTAACTAGATGTTGAGAGATTCTTGTCCCCTACCTCTCCCAACTAGATGTTGAGAGATTCTTGGCCACCCACCTCTCCTAACTAGATGTTGAGAGATTCTTGGCCCCCTACCTCTCCCAAATAGATGTTGAGAGATTCTTGGCCACCCACCTCTCCTAACTAGATGTTGAGAGATTCTTGGTCACCCACGTCTCCTAACCAGATGTTGAGAGATTCTTGGCCACCCACGTCTCCTAACCAGATGTTGAGAGATTCTTGGCCACCTACCTCTCCTAACCAGATGTTGAGAGATTCTTGGCCACCCACGTCTCCTAACCAGATGTTGAGAGATTCTTGGCCACCCACCTCTCCTAACTAGATGTTGAGAGATTCTTGGTCCCCTACCTCTCCTAACTAGATGTTGAGAGATTCTTGGCCACCTACCTCTCCTTACTAGATGTTGAGAGATTCTTGGCTACCTACCTCTCCTAACTAGATGTTGAGAGATTCTTGGCTACCCACCTCTCCTAACTAGATGTTGAGAGATTCTTGGCCCCCTACCTCTCCCAACTAGATGTTGAGAGATTCTTGGCCACCTACCTCTCCTAACTAGATGTTGAGAGATTCTTGGCTACCCACCCATCCTAACTAGATGTTGAGAGATTCTTGGCCTCCTACCTCTCCTAACTAGATGTTGAGAGATTCTTGGCCATCTACCTCTCCTAACTAGATGTTGAGAGATTCTTGGCTACCCACCACTCCTAACTAGATGTTGAGAGATTCTTGGCTACCCACCCATCCTAACTAGATGTTGAGAGATTCTTGGCCACCTACCTCTCCTTACTAGATTTTGAGAGATTCTTGGCCACCTACCTCTCCTAACTAGATGTTGAGAGATTCTTGGCCACCCACCTCTCCTAACTAGATGTTGAGAGATTCTTGGCCCCCTACCTCTCCCAACTAGATGTTGAGAGATTCTTGGCCACCTACCTCTCCTAACTAGATGTTGAGAGATTCTTGGCTACCCACCCATCCTAACTAGATGTTGAGAGATTCTTGGCCTCCTACCTCTCCTAACTAGATGTTGAGCGATTCTTGGCCATCTACCTCTCCTAACTAGATGTTGAGAGATTCTTGGCTACCCACCACTCCTAACTAGATGTTGAGAGATTCTTGGCTACCCACCCATCCTAACTAGATGTTGAGAGATTCTTGGCCACCCACCTCTCCTAACTAGATGTTGAGGGATTCTTGGCCCCCTACCTCTCCCAACTAGATGTTGAGGGATTCTTGGCCATCTACCTCTCCTAACTAGATGTTGAGAGATTCTTGGCCCCCTACCTCTCCTAACTAGATGTTGAGAGATTCTTGGCCACCTACCTCTCCTAACTAGATGAGAAATTCTTGGCCCCCTACCTCTCCTTACTAGATGTTGAGAGATTCTTGGCCACCTACCTCTCCTAACTAGATATTGAGAGATTCTTGGCCACCCACCTCTCATAACTAGATGTTGAGAGATTCTTGGCCACCTACCTCTCCTAAGTAGATGTTGAGAGATTCTTGGCCACCCACCTCTCCTAACCAGATGTTGAGAGATTAATGGCCACCCACCTCTCCTAACTAGATGTTGAGATATTCTTGGACATCTACCTCTCCTAACTAGATGTTGAGAGATTCTTGGCCACCTACCTCTCCTAACTAGATGTTGAGAGATTCTTGGCCTCCTACCTTTTGTAACCAGATGTTGGGAGAACGTCCTGACACCTACCTCTCCTAACTAGACGTTGAGATATTCTCGGCCACCTACCTCTGTGGTGGTGACACTGACATATTGTCTTCCAATACCCACCTCCATTGACTTGGTGTTGACAGACATGAAATGGAGTCTGTCCTTCTGTTGACAGATTCTCTGCAGACATTCCAGTTTCCAACACAGACGGCTGTAGTAGTTCTGGCCCTGGAAGTCCAGGGTGGCCAGGTTCCTGGAAGAGGACATATATACATATTTACAACAGGTGTTCATTTAGATGTCATAGTGCTTCTTGAACAGGAAAGTTTTTAAGTTAGATTGGAAGCTGGCTATTGAAGGGGATTCTTAGAGAGACACATGCAGATTGTTCCAGAGAATAGCTGACAAGTAGGAAAGAACATTGATGTCTGTGTGTCTTCACACGATGAGCGGCGACTGATTGGCTGATCTCAGAGTCCTGGTTGAGACATACTCTCTGACAAGACTAGAGAGATAGGGTGGAGCTGCATTGTTAAGACATCTGTAAGTCATGCTAAATATCTTGTATTCTATCCTGGCTGGGAGTAGTTAGCAGTGCAGACACATGAGGATTTTAGGGAGATGTGGCTGTGCTTGGTGGTTCTTCAGATCAATCTGGCAACTGCATTCTGGACTTTTTGCAACCTGGAGAGCAGGTTTTTGTTCACGTTCCCTAGCAAACTGTTACAGTTGTCCAAGCGGGACAACACCATAGATCTTACAAGATGGTGTGTTGCGTCAGTTGTTAATAGGTGGCGGATGCTGGAGATATTCCTCATGTGATGATAGCAGATTTTACATAAGTTACTGACGTGTGGCTCTATGGAAAGTGTAGAATCTACCACGACACCCAGGTTTTTCACTGTAGGGCTCATAGAGATCCGAGATTCACCTATCGTAAGTGAATTCACACTCAGTTTATCTCTGTTGACTGGTGAACAAGCCATGAGAATGTCCGGTTTGTTATAGTTTAGTTAGAGTTTACTTGCGGTCATCCATGTCTTCACATTCCCTACACACACTTCAACTTCTTCAACTTGTGATCTTGCAGCATTAGCATTGTGTTTTCTTAAGAGTTGAGTTTCATCAGCATAACAATGATGTAAGATTTTATGCAGAATAACAACGTCCCCAAGACGGTGTAGAGAGTGAATATCATCGGTCCCAACACAGAACCTTTGCGGGACGCCACACGAAAGTTTGTATGTCTGAGATCTAGTAAAATCTAGATAGTTTTTATATTTGTATACTTATCCTGCATTACTCCTTAACGCATTTACTGCTTTCCTATAACAAGACAAAGTTGTGCAATGGAAACATCGAAGAGAAGTTGTTCCAACTAAGCGAGCTGCCATATTACCATCGCACTGCGCCCACGTGACCCGGAAAGTGGAAACATCCTTCCATGATGGATCTAATGGAACAATTACTATGGAGGCTACTGCTCTGATCTCATGAGGGTTACACCAAAGTGTTATGACTAACTTCTGCCTTGGATGTCTTGGAGACAGGAATGAAGAGCTATTTCCTCGAACCACGATGAGCCTTAGACTGACGGAGAAAACACCAAAGTGCACGGACCGGGCATAAATGAAGTTCTGCATCATCCTCAGATCCCACAATCAAAGAGAGAGGTGGAATCATGAAAGATCTGTGGGCTGTCCTGGAAGTAGGCTTATTGCAATGAAGTCCCAGCACAGTCCCATGTGAACGGCTCCATGTAGGGACTGTTCAAAGCGAACACGGGTGACATCAAGAGCATGCAGCTCGATCACCCTAGCTGCCGGGGCCAACCCAAGCAGAAAGACCGTCTTCTTGGTGAGGTTGTAAAAAGATATGACGTGAAGCAGCTCAAACGGCACCTCCCGCAACAACCGGAGTACCACATTCAGGTCCCAAGCAGGCAGCCTGAACTTGGCCTTCTGGTCTTCTTGGCTTGCAATTCTGGAATCTTGGTCATCTTCCTGTCATCTGGAACAGCCAACAATGAGCTCAGAGCTACCAAATACGAGGTAATTATGTACCCCTGAGGTGTCTGTGATTACGCAGAAACAGAAGAAATTCAGCCAAGAATTGAGGTGATGCAGTAACAGGATCCTGGTGTTTGTCCTTGCAAAAACTCTCAAAGGATCTCCATTTGTCATCATATAAACCTCGAGTAGAGGGGCTGTGTGCCAAAGTTACCTCTAGCTGAATAACCCTTGGCGCTTAAAACCCTTTGCAAATGTACCAGGCGTGCAGATGAAACCAGATTATCTCCCCCCTTCATGGCCTCTACCCCGAAAGGGCTGGCTGGGCTGGGGCTTGAGAGAGGTATGCCGGGGCTGATAGTTTCCTACCCTAGGAACCTTTTGTGCCGAATTCCTCCAAACTTGTTCCAAGACCTTGAGGGCTGTCTCATCACGGGCATAAGCACAGACACGGGAGTGTAGTTGGAAACTCCACCATTACAAATGGAGGAAGCAGACCAAGGCTGATGTAGTAGACGTCGTTTAAATTCAGAGTCCCATTCAGAAAGAACCAAATATCCCAGGCGTCGTGTTGACGTGATTTCAGATGATTGCTTATATGCTCAATATGCCTCTGTTGAAAAGTCATCACAGGGAGATGGTCTATGTGATTTGGATTGCTTTCAGTTAAGTCCTGACTAATCACCCTCAAAGAGGAAGCCAATGCCGATACAAAGTTTTAAGGAGCATCGAATTTCCATCTCAATAAAGGCTAAACGAGTGTCTGGCATAATGAAGCTGCTTGCAGGTTTAGATGAGCCTGTCACATGGTGTAAGTCCTCATCAAGCTGCAGGGAGGCAAATCACCCACCTCAAGAGCATGGATAGGAAAATCATCCTTACAAAAACGTAGCGCCTTAATGGATGGAGTAAGGGATAACTTGGCAAAATCCTAAGCCGATCCGCCATCCAATCCGGGACTTGGCGAAGTCCTGAGTGAGTATTGAGATGAGTCCTCATAAATCGGAACAAAGGCGCCCTCTGATGAATCAGAATGGTAGTTATAAGACCTCCGGACTGGAGAACGACTTCTCGACCTGCGTCTCTGTTTAGTGGATTTCCTGCTATGGCGTGAACTGGTTCCTGGTGAAGTCCAATCACGATAGGAAGTAGCCCTAGAAGTAGAGGCTACCCGTAACTGTTGAAGGAGCCAAAACAAGAGATGCCAGGAGACGCCACAAACACCGAATCAGTAACGGGAGCCACAAGCGTCGGAGGAGTCGGAGGAGAAACAGATGAAGGAGGTGCTGGGAGTACCATAGGCACGGCAGGTAAAGGCAGTGCTGATTGTGCAGTAGACAACAGAGGTACCGAGTGTGTGGGAGGAGTTGCCGTCAGAAGAGGTCGCCACAGGCGCCGGAGGCACTGCAAACACTGCATGTCCCGGGTGTGAGGAGAACGCCGGCTGTGGAGTAAACAGGGGGACCACTGAAGGCGCCATCCTCTGTTCAAACATAGACTGTAAAAAGGACTGTATCCAACCTGGATCCATGTAGGGTGCCGGAGACGCACACTGGTCAGCAGGTAAACTAGGAGGCACCACAGGCGTTGAAGCTGTCATCACTGACTATGGTGTCGGAGCAAAAACCACTGATGCTGTTGATGATGAAGTCACTGATGCGGTGGGAAGAGTCAACAAACCACTCAAAGATGCTGTTGTAGACAAACCAGACATCGCCATAGTCGATGGGGGGGGGGGGTGGTGGTGGTGGTGGGGAAGGAACGTCTCCTCCGAAGAACCATGCATCTCCGTAGTAGCCGGGGAGATAACCGAGTCTTCAGAAGCAAACAAAGTCTGAGACAATGTGAACACTTGGATGTCAGGGAACACTGCCGACTTGCTGCTATTGCAGGCAATACAACCTGGAATAAATCTGCAAAAATAAGCAGAAGCCCAAAAACAATACAATGTGTAAGAAAACACACATGAATAACTAGACAAACATTATTTCCCACCTACCAAAACATGGTTAAGGGAAAACTACATGTTTGTAACAATATACTAAATAAATTACAAAAGTATTTAGTAATTAAACTTGTAGTATATAAGCAGAACATTGGCCAAGAAGCATAAGAGAAATTACCAAAGAATAATACATGACTAACAGAGTGGAGTACATTGACTGAATTCAACATGGCTAAGTGGAACAAGCAGACGCACAATAATAACGTGAATCCAATAATCATTGTGCAGAAATTACACTTTGTCGGGTCGGTATTGTCAGATGCAGAATATTTCGTTTCTCTCATGAGTATGTGTTTGATAAAAACAGATGACCGGATGTAATAAATGGAGCATGTGGCGGAAGAAAACCGAAACTGCTGTGTGGTAAATAAGATTGCAGATGTATCTGAATTGTAATATTGCAAAATAACATTGGCGACGAGGATCATAAACTAACAAGGAAGCCGTAGAAGGGTAAATTGCAACTTTGTTCAGTGACAAATTGTCAGAATTTAGCGATGTTCGTACCATGCCGTCATTTGACCTCACTGGTGATTCGAGCGCAGTGAGTATCCGTTGGAAAGCTTGGATAGAGGAGTTTGAGGCATACGCTGACAGCTGAGCATTATTTGCTGAGGAAGGAAAAGTAGATAATCAGGCACAAAGGAGTGCACTACTGTTGTATATAGCCGGAGCTGGACTTAAAGGTGTTTTAAGACGTTGCAAGATTGGGGGTCGTCTCAAGAATATTTCAAGGCAATCAAGGCTTTAAATGATCATCTGACTGACAAACCTAATGTGACGTACCAACACCATATTTTCAGGAAAATGAAGCAGAGTGATGAAACTGTGTCACAGTATGTAACAAGGTTACGTGAGGCATCTGAAGGCTGTGAATATACGGATGTTGAAAAACAGATTTGGGATCAGGTGGTTGAAAATTGTAAGTCGGACCATTTGAGATGCAAGTTTCTGGAAAAAGGAGATGAACTGTCATTGAAATCAATATTGAAAATGGCTGCAACATGTCAAGATATCGAGGAACAGATGAAAGATATGAACTCTAAAGGGGGACAGTCAGATAGGGTCCAAAGAATAAGAGAACAGAAAACATTCAACAGGAATAGTAATCAGACAGGGAAAGTTGACAACTCCTGCTTCCGCTGTGGGCAAGTTGGTCACTATGGCAGAGATTCTACATGTCCCGCAAGAGGTCAACAATGTCAAAGGTGTAAAGGGTTTGATCATTTTGCTTCAAAA